GGGAGTTTCCAAAGTGATTTTTATACATTGATGAAAACTTGCAGAATCCTGGATGTGAGGCTAACGTCAAGTTAAGACTGACTTCTGCCCTTAACAAAATATTAACATCGAGACAATTGAGTTCCTTGAGGAAGGTCACTCTGCTTGTCTCAAGTACTTGTCAATGGGCTATAATTTGTAAGGAAGTTTATTTTTTTCTATATTACTTTTATCTTTGTTCCCCTGCTCCTTCTCCTCCTCCTCCTTCTCTTCTTCTTCTCCTTCTTTTTCAAATACATCTCTCTCTTTAACTGTCATCTACAATGGGTAAAGGCAATTCTCCCCAACACTTTCCAGTTCCTATGTGCAGGGTCTGAATTAAGCATCTTTGATTTCTCAGCAAATATTTGGAAGTTGTCTTAGATATTAAAATCTGGCTGAAATTATATTTGCATGCTAGTAATGATAGTCCTCGTTGCATGATTGATTTGGGGACGCAAGGGACTAATGTCAAGGATTTCATGCATGCAGATATTCATGCAAATAATCTAGTTTTAAATTCTGTGTTATGTCCATTAAATGTTCCCCTACTAAAGCATTTGGCAAGACAATGCCACTGGCCACAAAGGGGATTGGATGGGTAAGATCTGCACTTGGGTGTCCTATTGTATAGTTGATATGATTGAAGGAATGACTTCATCATTGTGGGAAACTCTAGAGATTTGGGGCAGTAAAATAGACATTATGAATAGATTTTATTTTCTTTCTTAAAACTCCCTCGCTGTCTTCTAGTAACTCCAATCAAATTTGTTGATATCTACCTCCTCACCCAATATCAGCACATGTGTTTGTTTGGGTAAAACTTTAGCTTTGGCTAATTGAGTTTGCCATCTATACCAAAGTCAGTTAAATTATCATGTTTTCCTAAACATAGCAAATAGTTTTGGGATGGACAAATGGCCTAAGCAGGTGCAGTAAAAAGCCACAGGACATTTGAATGCTAGGACAACATCAGGGATATTCCCAACTGAAGTTGAATCTAAGGAATATGAAATCAAGGGTTGCCATGGAAGTCTTGCTTTCTCAAGGGAATTTTTTTTTTTAGACTAAAGCCAACTCAAAGAAAGTAAACACAAGAGATACAGAGAGGAAACACAAGCCCTGTGACATTTCTGAAGCCCTTGAATCAAGCCATGACTAAAGGTAGACTTGTTGCTGAACTATTCAGATATTGCAATGGAATGAATATCCATGTCCTTCCCCCAAATTCATATGTCAAAGCTAATTCCAGTGGGATGGTATTTGAAGATGGAGCCTTTGGGAGGTAATTAGGTCATGAAAGTGAAGTCCTCATGAAAGGGAACAGTGTTTTTATAAGAGGAAGCCATGTAGCTAGCTAGTTCTCTTTCCACCACATAAGGACACAGCAAAAAGACAGCTTCTATAAGCCAGGAAGAGGGCACTCACCAAAAACCTCATTACCCTGGTGCCCTGATCTCTGACTTCCAGCCTGGGTTGTAAAACTGGCAAAAATTTGGTAAAATATTTATATCCCAAAGGGGAACAGACAGAATTTACAATTATAACTTTTCTGAAGTAATGACCTTAAGGAAAAAGGGACCAGGAACCTAGAGTCAGCAAGTAGTCTGTCGAAAGTTTAGTCCCGCTGAGGGGAACATTAAGGCCATCTTGGTCAATATTAAATAATAATTCAGAGCCTTTATAATTAAAACAATTTGTGATTGCTTATATGCATAGACAGATAATTCTCAGCCCAGGTTCCCAAAGAAATAGAGCCTACGCAAAAGCTTTTGGCTAAGGGCTTGAGAATGAAAACTGAAGGAAACAGAAGAGAAGGGGGAAAAAAGTGAGGCAGAAGAGTTGGAAGACCCTATTTGAGAGTGTTCTCCACTGAATTATCATGGATTCAAACTGATTGCTCAGGCTAATGGTATTTGTTTAGTGAAACCAAATGAAATACTGCACTTGGGAATAGTTCATCTGAGAGAAGAGAGAGGAAATGATTAATCATCAGTTCCTTTTATCCCCATTTTTTCATTCATTCCCTGCCCTTCTTTGTTGTACCCCCTGGCTTCCTCTGTCAGACAGAGGAGCATCACAGAAAGCTGGAGCCCCCAAAAGTCCACTAAGGCAAGAGGGTATGGGTAGCAATCTGTCCCAGCCAGTTAGGGTTGTGCACTCCCTCAATTTGTAGCAGTATGAACAGCAGACAAAGCAGATTCTGTCTACAAGAAAACTATCTCCTTAACTGCAAATACAACATACATCATTGCTTGGACAGCCCCGGGTGGCATCTGAGGATCCAGTACATCTATTTAACATATAAAATTCCTTTGGAAACTTTTTATCTCTTATTCCATACCCCCAAGATAGATGTTGGCAGTCATCCCCCAAGCATATGGCCCAGGGATATACATCTGAAGGGTTTCACGACTAAGGTTTTATTAGACAGTAGTAAATGACCTTTTCCTAGCAATAGCTAGCCCTTCAAGGTCTTGGAAACCTTGCTTCCAAAATCCTTAGAGACTTGTGTTATCCATAACCCCCTCCCAACTTGAAAATATATAAGTAGCCACTCCTCATAACCCTAGTGAAGCTTTTTCTGCCCAGGAGTCCTGTCCCTGTGCTTTCATAAAACCACCTTTTTGCACCAAAGATGTCTCAAGAATTCTTTTTTGGCCATTGGCTCTGAACCCCAACATTTTCTACATCAGACTCATTTTTACACCATGAAACAGAATAAGTTCTAAATAGAGTAAGAAATCTAAATGAAAAAAACTGATACCATGTAATTAATGGAATAAGATGTGAATAGATTCTTTATAGTCAGGAAAGGGAGAAAATTATTTACTATGACTTTAATCCAGAAAGAAATGAAAAACGATTAATAAATCTAACTACATTGAAAAAACTTTCACATGAGAAAAAATAAGCAAAACAAAATGATGAGCAGCAAATTGATCTCTGTCCCAAAGATACATTGGCAAAACCAAAGTGATTTTGACACAAAGTAATTCATGGCTGCATATTAATAACAAACAAAGGCAGAAGGCACCTGGAAAGTTCTGTAATACAGTGCTGGTAGAAACACTGTGGAGCATCCAAATAATGAAACAGCCTGCTGTCATAAAAAGACATCATCTCTACGTACTATTTTGTATATATTCTTAAGTAAGATGCGGAGGAGAAAATACAGAATTCAATAATTTGTAGTGATAAAGTCAATTTCTAAATTGGGACCCACAAAATGGAGGCTACCCCAGTGACCCAGTCCAAGCCACAAATCTAAAGCTATATTGCCCTGCACTGACGGGAAACACCTGTCAAGGGATCCAAACATACACCAATCACAATTCTCTAACTCACCTTTAGCTGACTTACCTTACCCTAAAAAACAGGACTTGCTAGCCTTTTAAGGAAATTCCTCATCTCCTTGGTAATCATGCACTGCTTCAGCATTGCTTCATCTAATGTTCTAGAAAACTCACTGTTGCCTCAGGTCCCTCAAGAACAGTACTTCCCTGCTGTGAGACCCTGTACTCCCCCAATCAGTGGGCTGCTTTACCTTGAATGAAGGACACGAAATTCACCACTAAATTTTATTTGACCATAGGAAATGTGTAGGAAAATATATGGTATATGTATTTTTGTATTTATAGTTTTAAAAAGATGAGCAAACAACAACAAAGAATTGAATAATAATGGCTACCCTGTGTCAAAGGGAGAGAACAGAACATATGAGATAGATATAAAGGCTAGATCACACTAAAGATAATGTAAATATTTTACATAACTAAAGCCCAAATTTAACAATTTAAAAAAAGCAATCAGGTAAATTTTTTTTAATTAAAATTTGAGTTTAACTCCGTATCAATTGGTGCTAAAATCACACAAAGAAAAACAGTCAAGTAACTGAAACAGCATTTTGCTTATTCACATATAGTGGTATACACACACACACACACACACACCATATATTTGCAAATAATGGTAAGGATAATAAATGGTACTAACAATAAATGATAATAACAATGTCATTTAGCAATAATGATAATGACATTTATTGCATTCATGAATCATACTGTTAGTGATATTGGTATGCAATATCTACCTATGTATCTATCACATGCTTATGTATGTGTGTTTTTGTGTGTGTCTATGTAAAGATTTTCAGCATAAAATAAAGAGATAAAGATGTAGAACCAAAAATTATTTTTAAAAACTATGTAATCTTAAATAGTGAACTGAAAATATCAGCATGAACATGTGATTATTTTATTTTCTTTCTAGGAACTGCATAGTTCCTAAGTAGACAAAAAAAGACATCAATAAAACCTAGTAGCAGTGAGCAATGCTAGCATCTGATTGTAGTCTCTAAATATTAGTTCTCACTGAAAAGGAGCTAATACTCCTCAGAGAATGAGCTGATTTTTGTTTGTTTGTTTGTTTTGAGCAGGATGTGCACATTATGAGGCAAGAACATTTTGTCTGGCTTCAAAGCCAGCAGCACTAATGATGTCGTGTCTACAGGGATAAAGATGCAATTTGAAAGGCTTTCCACTGGGACAAGATGAGACAACTAGAGTATCAAAAGTGTTAATGATCTCTAGAACCTATCCACCCATCATAATGGAAACTGTATCGATGCAGCATTGTGCACTTCAAAATTTATTAAAAGGGTAAATCTCATGTTAATTGTTCCTATCACAGAAACAGAAACAAAACAAACAAAACAATAACAACAAAAACCCGAAGGATACAAGAAAATTCTGGGAGGCATTGGGTATATCCATTATCTTGATTGTGGTGATGGTATCACTGGTGTTTGCTTATTGCATATTTCCAAACTCACTGAATCACACACATTAAGTATGTGTAAATTCTTGATATCCAATTGTGCCTAAATAGAGCTGTTAAAATTATAATGACTATAGTGGATATACCATGTCAAATAAATTAAAAATCTGTGAATTTATAATAATGTTTCAAAAGCAGGTTCTGATGCAACGTCCTAGTCGAGGAAGCCGCCAGTGCACGTTGGGGTGCAAGGCAGCAAAGTCTTGGAGACGATGTCCTTGGAGGTGACCGGAACGACCGCAGGGATGGTACTAGCAGAGCTCTATGTCTCCGATCGAGAGGGAAATGATGCTACAGGTGATGGAACCAAGGAGAAACCTTTTAAAACAGGCCTAAAGGCTTTGATGACAGTAGGAAAAGAACCGTTTCCCACCATTTACATAGATTCACAAAAAGAAAATGAGAGGTGGGATGTTATTTCTAAATCACAGATGAAGAACATTAAAAAAATGTGGCATAGGGAACAAATGAAGAGTGAATCCTGGGAAAAAAAAGAGGCAGAAGACAATTTGAGGAGAGAAAAGAACCTGGAAGAAGCAAAGAAGATTACTATTAAAAACGATCTAAGTCTCCCAGAGCCAAAATGTGTGAAGATTCATGCACTAGAAGGATACAGAGGCCAAAGAGTAAAGGTGTTTGGCTGGATCCACAGGCTGCGGAGACAAGGAAAGAATTTAATGTTTCTGGTGTTGCGGGATGGTACAGGCTATCTTCAGTGTGTCTTGTCAGATGATTTGTGTCAGTGTTACAATGGAGTCGTCTTGGCCACTGAGAGTAGTGTTGCGGTGTATGGAATGCTAAATCTGACTCCAAAGGGCAAACAGGCTCCGGGTGGCCATGAGCTGAGCTGTGACTTCTGGGAACTGATCGGGCTGGCCCCTGCTGGAGGAGCTGATAACTTGATTAACGAGGAGTCTGACGTGGACGTCCAGCTCAACAACCGACACATGATGATTCGGGGAGAAAACATGTCCAAGATCCTGAAAGCACGTTCAGTGGTCACCCGGTGCTTTCGAGATCACTTCTTTGATAGGGGGTACTATGAAGTTACTCCTCCAACGTTAGTGCAAACTCAAGTGGAAGGAGGTGCTACACTCTTCAAGCTTGACTATTTTGGGGAAGAGGCATTTTTGACTCAGTCCTCTCAGTTGTACCTGGAGACCTGCATTCCAGCTCTGGGAGATGTGTTTTGTATTGCACAGTCATACCGGGCAGAACAATCTAGAACGCGAAGGCACCTGGCTGAATACACTCACGTGGAAGCAGAGTGTCCTTTCCTGACCTTTGAGGAGCTCCTGAACCGATTGGAGGACTTGGTTTGTGACGTGGTAGATAGAGTCTTGAAATCACCTGCAGCGAGCATAGTGCGTGACCTCAACCCGAACGTCAAGCCTCCCAAACGGCCTGTTAAGCGGATGAACTATTCAGATGCTATTGTGTGGCTGAAAGAACACAATATAAAGAGAGAAGATGGAACTTTCTATGAATTTGGAGAGGATATCCCAGAAGCTCCTGAGAGACTGATGACAGACACCATTAATGAGCCCATCTTGCTATGTCGATTTCCTCTAGAGATCAAGTCCTTCTATATGCAGCGATGTCCTGAGGATTCCCGCCTTACAGAATCTGTTGACGTGTTGATGCCCAATGTTGGTGAGATTGTGGGAGGCTCAATGCGTATCTGGGATAGTGAGGAAATACTGGCAGGTTATAAAAGGGAAGGAATTGACCCCACTCCTTATTACTGGTACACAGATCAGAGAAAATATGGCACATGTCCTCATGGAGGATATGGCTTGGGCTTGGAACGATTCTTGACCTGGATTCTGAATAGATATCACATCCGAGATGTATGCTTATACCCGCGATTTGTCCAGCGTTGCAAGCCGTAACTGATTCCTCCAGAAGCGTTAGGGAAAGAACACAGTTTATGAAAGGAACAGACTGCCTCTTAACAAAACAAAAACAAAAAGCCAAAATCTTCCCTTTTTTATTCCATTGGTGTATAGCCATTTCTTTTTTCTCCCACAAAAAGCAATCCAAATCGTGAATATCAAGTGATGTCAGTGTTACCATTTTAAGAAACAATATCCATCACAAAGTTTGGGGGAAATATGTGGCATGTAACACTACAGTTCTAAGTCTATCCAATTATAGGTTATAATTTTTGCATCATATGTACCACATATATAATTAAACAGATTTTAATTATGATCTAAGACATTCCAGTAACTTAATCTTTCCGTCCTGTTAAGTGTAACTGGAATTCTTTACTTTGTATCATTTTATTGTATAGGCGAGTTAGAACAGACATCTTGGGGGAAAAATGACAATGTGGTGTAAAAATCTGCTAGTATTAGAACAGTGTAATTCATTGATAGATACTGGAATCAAACGAAGACAGTTTTGCATTGGTCATTAATCTTTTCTAATTCTGTAGAGCTACTTATAATTCTAAAGCATACGAATTGATGTGGAGAAATCTTTAAGAAATGGGAATTTTGCATTAAACAATTTGAAATAATAGCAAATTCTTTTTTTTTTTTGTTCCTTGCATTAGTTTAAGCTAAAGAGGCAGAGTGATTTTCTGTCTTTCCTGGTAGTTTCTAAGTAATTAAGAATAAATAAGTTCCAAAAGAAAAAAAAATAATGTTTCAAAAGCATATTTAAAAAATTATTAGTGATTTTTGGAATTAATTAGATTACCAACTCGGTAATCTATATTCTGAATATATAAAAGTAAAGTGAAAGAGTAAAGCATTTATGTATCTGTCACATACTGATTATATTTCAAAGAAACCAAATAATCAATAACAGGGAAATCATTTTTTTCCTAAAATAGTCATAGCTAGTAAATGTAAGACATGTCAGAATTAGAAAAGCAAGCACTTTGCAATCAATCAAGGGTTGCTAAAACCAGTAGGTAAATGTTGAATGCAAACTTTGTAATGGATGGATCAGGTTGACAACACTTCAATCAATCCTAACATCATTTAAATTGGAATGGTCAGAGTTTATGTGCCTCATGATGGGATATAATAAAGAGTAGATAGCAACACCTATGCAGTATGCTCCCCCCCACACACACACATACACACAAATATAGAAAGTAATAAAGGAGGGAGGCAGAAAATGTTAATATAATGAACCCTCTAGATCTAAATACCAGTTTATAGAAATATATGGGATAAAGCAATATGTTAGAAGTCTGTACAGTGATATGATCCACTAAATGGAGAATGTAGAAATATCTGGAGTGGAAAAACTGGTATATATTAAAAGATTATTCCAAACAATTGCTAGAACTAATAAACAAGGTTGTAGGATACAAGGTTATTATACAAAAGTCAAACAGGTTTCTATATACTGTTAAGGAACAAGTAGAATTTGAAATGAAAAAACAATAGCATATACATTAGTATTCCCCAAAGTGAAATGCTTAGGTATAAGTCTAACTGAATATGTACAAGATCTATATGAGGAAACCTCCCAAAACTGTTGAACAAAATGAAAGAACTAAATAAATGGAGAAATATACCATGTTTAAGGATAGAAAGACTCAATATTGTTAAGACATCTGTTCTTCCTAATGTGACTTACAAATTCAATGCAATGCCCATCAAAATCTCAGAAGTTCTTTTGTGGATATTGACAAACTACAGTAAGACAATGTGGCATTGATGAAAGAATAAACAAATACATCAATGGAAAAGAATAGAGAGCCCAGAAATAGACCCTCATAAACACAGTTTACTGATTTTTGACAAAGGAGCAAAAGTAATTCAATGGAACAGAAAGAGTCTTTTCAACAAATGGTGCTGAAAAAGCTGGATACCCACATGCACGACAATGCATTGAGATACAGGCCTTACACACTTTACAAAAATAACTCAGAATGGATCACAGATCTAAAGGTAAAATATAAAACTGTAAAATTTCTAGAAGATAGCATGGGAGAAAACCTAGATGACCTTGAGTATGGTGATGACATTTTAGATACAAACACCAAAGACATGATCCATGAAAAAATAATTTATGTGTTGAACATCACTAAAATTAAAAAATTCTGCTCTGCCAAAGGTAATGTTGGGAATAAAAAGACAAGCTATAGACTTCAATGAAATATTTGAAAAAAAATATCTGATACAGGAGTTTTATATAAAATTTATAATAAAAATTTAAACTCAACACTAAGAAAATAAACAACTTGATTAAAAAATGAACCAAAGACCTTAGCAGATACCTCACCAAAGATATAGTTAACAAATAAGTATATTAAAAGGAACCCCACATCATATAGCATCAGGAAAATGCATATTAATACAACAATAAGATACCACTTTGTCCCTGTTTAAAGTGGCCCAAATCTGGACCACTAGCAACACCAAATTCTGGAAATGATATGCGGCAACAGAAACTCATTCATCGCTGGTGGAAATGAGAACTAGTATAGCCATTCTGGAAGACTGGTAGTTTCTTACAAAACTAAACATACTTTACCAAACTATCCAACAATCCTGCTCCTTAGTACTTACACTCAGGAACTGAGAACTTATGTGCACACAAAATCCTGCACACAAATGTTTACAGCAGCTTTATTCATAATTGTCAAAACTTGGAAGCAATCAAGATGCCCTGCAGCAGGTGAATGGATAAATCAATAGTGGTACATCAGGACAAGGGGATATTTTTCAGCGCTAAAAAGAAATGAGCTACCAAGCCATGAAAAGACATAGAGGAACATTTAATGCATATTATTAAGTGAAAGAAAGCAATCTGAAAAGGCTACATACCATGTGTGATTTCAACTACATGACATTTTGGAAAAGGCAAAACTATGGAGACAGTAAAAAGTTCAGTGGTTGTGACGGGTTGGGGGGAAAGGGGTGGTGAAAGATGACTAGGCAGAACACAGGACTTTTAGGGCAGTAAAAATATTCCATAATATGCTGTAATGATGGATATACATGTCATTATACATTTGTCCAAACTCATAGAATGCACAATCCCAAGAGAATGAAATGCAAACTGTGGACTTTGGGTGATTATGACATGTGAATGTAGGCTCATCAATCGTAACTAACGTACCACTCTGATGAATGGTGTTGATAAGGGGGCAGGCTACACGTGTGTGGGGACAGGAGTATAATGGGAAATACTTATATTTTCCTCTCAATTTTTCTGTGAACCTAAAATTGTTCTAAATAATAAAGCCAATAAAAAATATTATTAAAGTACCTATCAACCAAATGAGTATGTTTTGGATAGTGATTTTAGCTCACCAACATAAAAGAAACATTTTATGATAACCAGGGAAAATTGAACACACATTGAGCACTAGGTAATATTAAGGGATTATGATTTATTTTATTTGTATTGTTTCAAAATCTTGACTTATTAGACATATAAAATATTTACAGAAGAAACAATAAAATAGTTTTTTAAAGCTTCAGCAGAAATATTATGTGATAGCTATAACAGGAAGAGCAGATATTGTTATTTGCTGATGTATACAATTTTTTTTAAAGATTTTATTTATTGATTGATTTGAGAGAGAGAGAGAATGAGAGATAGAGAGCAACAAGGGGGAAGAGGGTCAGAGGGAGAAGCAGACTCCCCGCTGAGCAGGGAGCCCGATGCGGGACTCGATCCCAGGACTCCAGGATCATGACTTGAGCCAAAGGCAGTCACTTAACCAACTGAGCCACCCAGGCGCCCCATGTTGTATAAAATTTAATTGAGGCGAATTTCCTATCTTTGTTTATATTCTAAATTTTTATCATAAATTGTTAAAATAAGTAAATAAAATTTAAATACCTGTAAAGTAGACAACTGAAAAGACTGAATATCAATTTGTAATTATTAATTTACTTAAGTTACTTGGGGGATTTCTGTGAATTCAGGATTTAGAAGGTGATCGTACTGGCACAGAGAGAGGGAGGCTGGTTATAGTTGTCTAGTAATTTTTATGTCCCATTGTCATTCATGTTTGTAAGAAAGTCTTTCCTTTTCAATTTAACTCTTATTCTAAGGAGGCAAGAGATTTTTATTTTTATTTAGTTCAGTCCCCATATACGTAAAGCCACTGTAACATAACAAAGTAATAGAGTATGTTTCTTTTATAAGGCTTTACATTTAAGAGTGAGAGAAAACATTAATTTAATATGGTTTATCAATAAAATATTTTAAACTCTAAAGATATTGTAGTCATAAGAATAGGCACATAAGTAATAATTTTCTTCTTTGTAACAGGTAATAGAAGTTGAAAAACCACAAGGAGCAATGACTCTTGGCCCATAATTCCAGGAAATCCACCTATAACTTGGACTCTTATTGATTCCAAATAAAAGTAAAACCTTGTCTAATACAGTATAAAAAATTTTGTTTAAATCAATCAGTAATAGTTCTTCAGTTACCACTGCTAAATAAAAAAAACACTCTTTCAAAATCAAACAAGATTTTAGGGTTTATTTATCTTCCATAAAATAGTTTCTATTTTCTGGTTGAATCTTTCTGAAAGCATCTAACATTACATACTTCATAAATCTCTTGCCCTAAAGAGTAACCATGGATCTATTTAAACTTTTTATATTACCTAACACTTTATTTGGTTTTTCCCTGGTTTCATAAGTATGAGGAAAAATTCATAGTTCGAATATTAACAAATGAGTCACTAAATACAACACACTAAGTACACTCCATATTAAATTCATTTCTAATTAGAAAATTGCTACCATCTAAATGAGATCATCTTATGTACAGACTTATTTTTAAAAAACAGTAAGAATATATATTTTATTGAACATAAATATTCCTGAATTAACATTGTCACTTCCCTGAGCTCTGCACTTCAATATCCATTTGCCTGATTTCTCCTCTTGGATATATTCACATCCAATCCAGAGTTATGCTCCCCTATCAGCCTCCTTTTCTTCCTATAATCTTATTTCTCTGAATGTACCATAATGCTTCTAAATGCCTAAACAAGAAAGTAAGTAGCCATGTTGAATCATTCCTCTCTCTTAGTCCCATTCAAAATCAATGCCTCAGTCAGGTTAACTCAGCTCCTTGATCTTTTGGTATCCTATTTCACTTTCATGATTTAATTATGGCATTCACCATTTCATGCCTACATCCCTGGCAAAACGTGGTGTCTCCCTGCCAAATCACCATGCAGTCATCGTGCTTTCACTGAACAAATATTTATTAAATAAAAATTACATGTCAGTCATTAGTCTAAGTGTTGGAACACAGCAGTTAAAAACATAGATGAAAATTCTTGCTATAATGGACTTTACATTCTGTGGCAATGTCCTGT